ACTACACACAAAACTTCCAGAGGCAGTAAAATAATCCCTACTCAAATACATATAATCCAGGGTGGAGAAATTATCCTAATTTCGCATGGAACAATAATCAGGAGGCTCAGACTACACCACCAGGTTTCCAACAACCTGAGAAGAAATCTTCATTAGAAGACCTTGTGATAAAATTGGCTGAAATACCTACTCAACACATGCAAAGAATAGACAAAATCTAGCGAGTTCATGGAGCTACCATCAAGAACTTGGATAATCATGTGGGACAAATAGCGAAAGCACTTTCAGAGAGACCACCAGGAGCACTACCTAGTGATACTAAGATAAATCCCAAACAACAGGTAATGACAGTGAAGGTTGTGGAAGAAGAACAGATTGAGGCTATCACTACTCGTAGTGGGTATAGCTACCCGAGATAAATGTGAAGAGACCAGATGTTACATAAGAGAAAGTACCTACCACAGTTGAGGAAAATTGGAAGAGTCCGATCAGAACAAGGAACAAGAAAGAGTATTAGAGGATCCAAAGGTTAAGGCAACCACTCCTATTAAACCCTATGTGCCTCATATCCCATTTCCCCAAAGATTGCAAAAGAGAAAGGTGGAAGAACAATTTGCAAAGTTTTTGGATATCTTCAGGAAGCTTTATGTCAATATCCCACTGATTGAAGCTATATCTCAAATACCAAACTATGCAAAGTTTCTGAAGGAGATCCTGTCAAGAAAGAGAAAGCTTACAGGTTTTGAGACCATCAAGTTAAATGAGGAGTGTAGTGCCATCTTGCAGAACAAATTACCTCCTAAACTACGAGATCCAGGGAGTCTCAAAATCCCTTGTTCAATAGGAAGTGATTCTAATTTTAATTGTTTATGTGACTCAGGAGCAAGTATAAACCTAATACCTTTTTCTGTCTGTAGGAATTTAGGTTTGGAAGAACTGAAGGATACTTCAATCTCCCTTTAACTGGCAGACAGATCAATCAAATACCCACGAGGAGTGGTTGAAAATGTGCTCATTAAAGTGGGAAAATTCATATTCTCGGTTGATTTCATTGTCCTAGATATAGAGGAGCCATGGGAATCAGCATTACTTATCCTGGGCAGATCATTTATATCAACAAGCAGAGCTATCATGGACTTTGAAAGTGGCGAACTGACATTGAGAGTTAGTGATAAGCAAGAGAAGTTCAAGATTTACACCAATGTCGAGAATCCATTACATGAAGAGCTTAGTAAAAAGGCTAAAGAGGAGTGCAAGTATATTTGTGAAGAGGTGCAACAAGACTCGAAGGAGACCGAGCCTAATCTCCTAGGAAGCCTTAGTCGAAAGGAGAACAAAGTGTTCAAAGTCTAGAGGGCAAAAAGAGAATGTAAAGATGGAAATTGCAAGGAGTGTAGGACTGCAAGAAGCGAACGTGAACCACCATGATCCTTCCCTCCATACAGTCTAGCTAAGGACCATAAATTCAACGCTTACTGGGAGGCAACCCAATTTTCTAATCCTTTTATTTATTTTGTTTCTCGTATTTCATTGTACGTAGTTTTATTTTTGATTAATAGGATGCCTTAGTTATATGCATGTTTAAATTTATAGGGTATCATCATCATATCATGTTTTTCCTTAGGCTTTGAATTTATTGTTGGTTGTTTCAATTGTTTGGGCTAAGTAACACATGTTCTAGGTTATTTAATCTTTATTGTTTGATTTGACCAATATGTGCAGGAACATGACGTCGCAGAATATTCAAACCAACATAGACTAAGGGAAAAGTATGATAGATTGTCTAACCATCACACATAATGCCTCATGCCTTCAACAGAAAAATTCAAGGAGTACCTTCTTCCTTTTCTTCTTCGTCCCCCTTATAATCTTATTTATGTTTTATAACATTGAGAGCAATGTTGATTTTAAGTTTGGGGGTGGGAAAAACTTCTAGTTTTTACTTTTCGTCTATTTTTGAGTGTTTGTGTGTTTTTCATTATTACTTTAGTTTTTAATAAAAAAATTTAAAGAATTTAAAAAAAAATCAAATAAAAAAAATTGAAAATGTTCAACAAAAATAAAAAATATATATATTTTCTTGTTTTATATTGTGTGCTTTTGTGTGGGTTAGATAGTTTGGCCGACAATGATGATTGAAATTGAGATTTGGTGTTGATTTATGAACTGTGAATATGTTGTATGCTAGACTAATTAGCTTAACCTTGCAAAACTCGATATTGTACGAGCATTAGAATTAAGTTGGACATTGTGATGCTACGGGTTAATTCATATAATTGATAGGTTGATATAGTTGGACATAAATATTTTACCCAAATCATACTAAATTACTTATCCTTAGACCAAATTTAGCATAGTTTGGGGGTGATTTTGCTGTTGTAAGAAAATACAGATAGGGATAGGGATTCCATGTGTGAAAACTTTTGTGTGGATTGTTAGATTAATGAGATAAAATTGGGCGAAAATCTTAAGTTGGAGGTCAGTTTGCTTGAATAGGTGTTTGATAAAGGGTATTACACTGATCAAAGCATAAATTCTTAAATGTGAATATTCTCTTCGAAGCCTTTTTCACTTGCGTTATTAAGCCTATAAGGGTGTTTAAAACCTGGTGCCCTAAAGTCATTTGACTAGGGAGTCATCGGTCTAAAGCCCGTTACATGGGTCATTTAGAAATCTTAAGGGAGAGAATAAAAAATAGAAAAAAAAATACATTTGAAAAATAAAAAAACAGAGCACTAAATGCCTTGGTTATGCTCCAAACACTTGTTTGAGGGAATTTGACTTTTGATTAAGGATAATTAGCCTAATTGAGTCTTGGATGTCGCAGCAATCAAAGAATTGGAGAATCTTTGTTTATTGATGTGTTGACTTGCAATTAGTAAAGTCCTCCTGAACGAGAGTGAGTGAGGATAGTAATGAAAATTTCAACATTAGATTACACACTGGAAAAGAGTGGAAAAAAAAAAGAAGAAGTTTGGGGGTGTGTGAATCATACGAGAGGTGAAAGGACATATTTGACCACAAGGGGTCGGAAATTGAAGCAACTTGCAAAGTCATGATGTCTACTTAGTTCTTCACACACACACACACACACACACACACGTCGATTTTGCATTGGAAGAGTAGATATTTGTTTGGTATTGTGATTTTGATGCGGTTTAGAGATTTAGTACTATAATTTCAAATACTGAGATAAAAAGATAAATTGTCTAACCAAATACTTTTGCATGCTTGTGTGTTTGTTGTTATTTAGATTATAATTCTGTATAAGGACAAACAAATGTTTAAGTTTGGGGGTATTTGATAAGTGTAATTTTTACACTTATTCGGGACCTAAAATAACTACATTTGATAGTTTTTTTGACAAAATATATTCTAAATTATTGAATTTTATGTTTAATAGGTGAAACTCTATGGATGGAAAAGAAATTGAAGAAAGGAAGCAAAATGTGCCGAAAAATGGCAAAATCTAAAGTATAAGGACCAACTTGCATTTTATGAAAGAGTTGAGGATTTGGAAAGCAAATATTAATTAATGGACCTTAATTATATATATATGCACAGCCTTAGTGGATAAGGCGAAAAAGAGAATACGCAGCCAAAGTGAGATAATTTGCTGGGGAATTGATTATCATATACACACATTTGGCAGCCTTGGATATATTTATATATATCTATATGTACAAGAGAAAGGCGGAAAACATATAGACACACAGTGAGAGCAGTTGACAAATTGTAGGCAATATTAATTTGTATGAATGCGTCGATATTTATTATGGTTTAGTTTGCTTTTCAATTAATTGGCCACTAATTGAGTTGTTTGTGGATTTATTATCATCGAGAGAGGTAATAGAATCGTTAGCACGTAGTAATAAATATTGTGAGGTTTGATAGAAGATAGATATATATTTCTATACTTTGCATGGTTCATAAAGATGTTCTAGTTTGTTATGAATTTATCATGTTCCTATTTTTCATTGAGAGATAGGAAGGTCACACGAGGGGAATATATTAATTAATTTCTATCGAGAGAAGTTTTTAAATAAATTTGGAACGTCAACCAACTCGCATGATAACAAATTGTCAATTTAATTGTTAAACTAAAAATGGATAAACAAGGGGGATTCTAGATCTTAGCAATGTTTCTCAAAAATTTGATAAACTCTTACTTTAGTTTCTTATTCGTGATAAATTAGATATAGATTTATTAGAAATATTATTGATATTCGATTAAGGGTATGATTAACTTTAACTCGATCAAACACGTAATCCTCGTAGGTTCGACACTTTACACACTACTATATTACTTGATCACGACCCCGTTCACTTGCAAGAAATCAAATTACCCAATTGAGGGCTATAACGTCGATGTCTCTCATAGCAACCACATGCCGATTTTCCACAAGCGAGGGTCACTTTCAGATGGGAGAAATTTTGCCCATCTCGTTCACTTTCAGGTCAGATTCTATGATGCACATTAACTTACGCCTTCGTATCCCCAGTCAAGCAAACCCCAGTTGCGTTTCAGAAGACTGCTTTTTGTTAGTTTGTGTTTTTGTTTGTGCGAGTACCCAGTCAAGGAAGAATGATTTTTTTTATTTTTTTTTTGTTGGTGTTTTTTTTGGTGTAGTACCCAGTGAAGTAATCAATTGTTGGTGTTTGGTTGTAATGTATTGTATTATGGCCGGCGGTTTCAGTTGCTACTCAATTAGATTGTTTTTTGTAATGCACAGCAAGTGCTCAAGTACATTTCTAGGAGAAGATTGTTAGATTGTTCTGCTCAAATCAGTTATTTTCTATGTATATTCACTTCTGTACAAAGAAAATTAATAAGAATTACATAAAAGTTTTCCTCCTCTTTTGCGTTTCTCTACAATTTAGATTTTTGTTTAGAGTACTAAGAAACTTACATTGCATATAACCCTCTCTTCCATCTATGGACTGAGAAAGCAAACTTCAAGTGTATTATAAGATAATCAATGGAGATTTGAAAAGAACATTCATGAGTGTATCTTTTGTCGCTTCCCCCAAGCCTTTTTGGTTTTGGTTTGTAACTTTTCTATTGGATGTTGTTTCCTTTTCGATGGGGGCTGCCCTTTGCCTCTAACAACGATAGGACTCCACACTTTTGTCGAACTTCCAGATTCAGCATCAATTGAAGTACGAGTATTAGCAACCGTGGCATGATATTTTAATTTCATATAAATTTCATTCATTGCCTGTAACTTCTGTGTCATGTCTATGGAATTATCTTCGCTTTCAGTTGCATTTGTAGCTACTTGGTAGCATAGCTTTATCAAGTTAGAGTACCTACTAGCCGCTGGTTTACTACTCAATTCATCGTAACTGCTTCGAATCAGAGTATATCGACGTTTAATGTCCTTCCTCCACCTATCCATAATATACTTTTTCGGCAACTCTTGAACATCCTTTGCTGCGAAAATTGCAATAATGTATCTACATACAATTCCTCTCATCTCAAATAGTCTACACATGCATTTCGCCTCACAGTCATCTACATTGAAGTATGAGTGCACAATGGATCGTATGATGCAATCTTCAACTTGCCTCTGGTCATTTATTTGATATGTTGTAATCGCCCCCTCCGTTTTTATGAGACCAAACTGAGAATAAATAATCCCATGTACTTCTACTTGTACTTCCTTAAATTTAGAATGTGTATGTTTCTTGAAATTTCTTCTCCATGGGTAAATGGGATATACATGGGATTGTACAACTGAATGAGCGAAAGTCCTCTGCTATGTCATTCTCTACTTTCTTCCTCAGTGCGTTGTCGAATTGATCGACGAATTCTTTTAATGCAGTCCCTGAATGTACAAATCCATCAAAAAAGGCATTCATACTCTCACTTCTCTAAGTTGTGCTCATCCCAGCCCAGAAGTTATCTTTCAGGTATACAGGAACCCAAAACATCCGCTCACTATAGAGACTTTGAAGCCATGCATTCTCATGCAAATTGTAACTGTCAAGAAACATCTCCCAAGACTTATCAAACTCTTCAGAAGTCTGAGAATCATAAACACATTTCTGCAATGCACTTTTCAAGCCATACTTATATTGAGCATGTGAAGCCAACTTCTCTGGCAATTTTTGCATTATATGCCACAAACATTATCTAAGCCGGGTGTGAGGAAAAACTATTGCAATCGCATTTTTCATGGCCCTGTCTTGATCAGTGATGATAGATTTTGGAGCTCTCCCATCCATAGATTTCAACCAAGTCTCAAATAACCAAACAAACATTTCAGTATTTTCACATGAAATCAAACATGCTCCCAAAAGTATTGTTTGTCCATTGTGGTTCACACCAATAAACAGAGCGAATGTAATGTTATGTCTATTTGTTAAGTATGTTGTATCAAATGTCACAACATCCCTAAAATACTTATATGCTGCTCTGCTACGTGCATCGGCCTAAAAAAAATTTGTAATCGACCATCATCATCCAAATCCTTGCATGAGTAAAACCCATCATTCTTATACTGTCTCTCAAAATATACTCGTAGTACATCAGCACCTCCTTTGCCAAGTCTAAGGTGTCGAGCTTTGTCAATATAATTTCATACATCTTTTTCAATAAATGAAAGTTTTTCAAATCCACCATACTCGGCAGCCACGGCATTAAAACTTTTAGAAGTGCCTATGTGTGCCCTGTTGTTAATATCTAACTGCTTCTTTACGAAGTCAACAATAGCTCAATTACATCTAAAAAAATTTTCCTTCCGTGGACTTAGTCCATGGTTGTGTGCATTTTGCACGATGGTTATGCGTAGACCATCATCAACTAAAGCTGCATTAATCTTCACCTTACAATCGGTCTTCGTTGTCGGGCATGGCTTAGAAAGGTTGGAAATACGGTTTCTTGCCTTACCACCACGCACACAACCAAGTGTAACATATCTAAGACTACCATCGGCTTCCCTTCTACTTCGTTGAGTCATTATGCCAAGTCCAGTTTGTCTCCCATATTGCTTATAATAGTCAATGAGTACTTGCTCAGTTTTGAAAAACATCCCAATAGTTGGCTCTTCAACTCCATCATTATCATTTCGTGACGTTGGCTCATCAACCGCATCATCATCATCATTCTCAAGAGTTGGTTCTAAACCCCCATTATCATCATCATTCTCAGTAGTTGGCTCTAAACCCCCAACATCATCATCATCCCCTAGTGTTGGTTCTAAAACTTCATGATCATTAATTGTTTTCTCACCATCTCTCACATTTGGAGTATCCATATAATTACTGTTTTCAGGAAAAAATAACGATCGGTTACTAGATGTGTTTTCTTCACCTTTCTCCATAAAGAACAATCTTCGTATATTTTTACAACTCATGAAACAAAAAAAATACATTAATTAGTACTCACTATATAAATAAACAAACATAGAATTTCCAAAAAAGTTTCATCAACAATTTTAAAATTATTGTAAAAAAATAAGAATCCAAAAATTCTGACCTTTAAACAGAGAGGGAGAAGGAGATTGAGAGTATCCATAGATGGAGAGAAGATAAATAGAGGGGTAGATTAAAAGTCTGAAATGCTCTTTCAGATTTTATGTTTTTTTTATTTAGGGGTAATTTGGTCAATTTAATAATAAAATGAGGATCTTTTTGCCTATTTTATGTTGGACTGTACCTAGCATCACCCTATGGAAAATGGTACGTTTTATTTAGAAATATCAAGGTAAGAAAGCACAGCACATAAATGGGAAGCAAGATAATTTGGGCCAGTGAAACTTGCGTTCGCATTGTGTATGTGCCCTCATACTCTAGTAACCTGGCAAATTGACCATTGTAAACAGAAGCTACCTTAGATTCTACACTCCATTAATACTACCAAACATGAATTCTTTTCCGTCAGGTGGTGGCATGCCCTTAGTCAAAGGATCAGCGATCATCAATTCGGTGTTTACGTGCTGAATGACCACTTTTTTTTTTAAATACGTTCTCTTATGGCTAAATATTTAATATCGATATGCTTACTTCGACTACTACTTTTGTTGTTCTTAGCCATAAAGATAGCAGCCGAATTGTCGCAATAAATTCTTAATGACCTATAAATGAAATCCATAACTCTAAGGCCAGATATGAAACTCTTGATCCATACACCATGCGAAGTAGCCTCAAAACAAGAAACGAACTCAGCTTCCATAGTAGAAGTACCAGTTAAGGTTTACTTGGCACTCCTCCATGATACAGCTCCACCAGCCATCATAAAAATATATATGATGTTGATTGTCGTGAATCAACACAGCCGGCAAAGTCTAAATCCGAGTATCCAATCACTTCCAAATTATTCGTCCGTTTATACATAAGAATATAATTCTTGGTTCCTTGAAGGTACCTCATTACTTTCGTCGCTACTCTCCAGTGGTCCATACCTAGACTACTTTGATATCGTCTTAACATTCCTATAGCAAATGCAATGTTAGGCCTTGTGCAGACTTGAGCATACATTAGGCTTCCGACAGTAGAAGCATATGGAATGTTCTTCATTTGTTCCATTTCTAAATCATTTTTCGAGCATTGGTTCAAATTAAACCTATTACCCTTCACAATGGGAGCTACAATTGGTGAACAATCTTTCATCTGGAATCTCTCTAAAACTTTGTTGATATAAGTTTTCTGAGACAAACCCAAAATTTCTTGTAACCTGTCTCTATGAATCTTAATGCCAATGACATAAGATGCCTGGCCCATAGCCTTCATATCAAAATGTTTAGAGAGGAATTGTTTCACCTCATGCAACAAGCCTTAATCATTGGTCGCAAGTAAAATATCATCTACGTATAAAACAAGAAAACAAATCTTACTCCCACTAACCATAAGAAATATACATTGATCCATGAAATTTTCAACAAATTCTAATGAAGAAATAACACCATGGAATTTAAAATACCATACCTCATGCAACAAGCCTTAATCATTGGTCGCAAGTAAAATATCATCTACGTATAATACAAGAAAACAAATCTTACTCCCACTAAACCTTCTGGTATATACATTGATCCATAGGAATTTCAACAAATCCAAATGAAGAAATTACTCCGTGAAATTTTAAATACCATAGACTGGATGCTATTTTAAACCATATATAGATTTATTAAGCTTATAGACAAAGTGCTCACCATCATTAGAGGAGAATCCTTTAGGTTATTTCGTATAAACCTCTTCCTCTAAATCTCCATTGAGAAATGTTGTTTTCACATCCATTTGTTGTAACTCAAGGTCAAAATGGGCTACTAATGCCAAAATAATACGTAGAGAATCTTTCTTAGATACTAGAGAAAAGGTCTCCATATAATCGATTCCCTCCTTTTGAGTGAATCCCATAGCAACAAGTTTCGCCTTGTATCTTTCAATATTGCCTAGAGAGTCTTTCTTAGTCTTAAAGACCCATTTACAACCAATGGCTTTGGCACCACTAGGCAACTTAACAAGATCTCAGACTCCATTACTCTTCATGGAACTCATCTCTTTCTTCATGGTATTGTACCATAATTCTGACTCTTTACAACTCATGGCCTGTGAAAATGATTCAGGATCATTTTCAGCTCCAATATTATGGTCAGGTTCTTGTAAATACACTTCATAATCACTAGGAATTGCTGACCTTTTGGTTCTAGTAAATCTTTTTAATGTTGTAACATCATCTTCTTGAGAAGCTTATGGTTCAACTGTTTGTTGAGGAGGTTCTAGAAATTCCTAAATTACCTAATCTACTTGAACATTGTTAGCAGCTTTTGGAATTTCAATGATTGGTCATTCAAGACCTGTTTGTACTTGAGGGGTGCTGTGAACTATGACTAATTTGTCACTCAAGGTGGAAGGTTGAGATTCGAAATGATCATACTTAGGAACTTTGTTCCTGGTTTGACCACTCCCACTAACCAAGTCATTCTTAAGAAACTTAGTATTTATTGATTCCACAGTCCTAGTGCTGTGAGATGGACAGTAAAATTTGTATCCCCTAAACCTTTCGGCGTATCCAATAAAATACCCACTAATGGTCCTTGGGGTCCAACTTCTTCTCCTGTGGATTATAGATTCTCACTTCATACGGGCATCCCCAAATGTGCATATGTCACAAACTTGGTTTCCAACCTTTCAATAGTTCAAATGGCATCTTTCAGGCAACCTTAGTTGTAACTCGGTTTAATATATACACAGCCGTCTTAAGTGCTTCAGTCCACAAGGATTTAGGAAGATTTGACCAACTAAGCATGCTCCGTACCATGTCCAATAATGTTCTATTTCTTCTTTCTGCTACACTATTCTGGTCTGGTGAACCAGGGATAGTATATTAGGAAATTATCCCATGATCTTGAAGAAACTTAGCGAACGGGTAGGTGCTTGTCCATCCTCTGTGTATCTACCGTAATATTCTACACCTCTATCTGATCATACAAACTTAATCTACTGCTCATAGTATTTCTCTACTTTAGCCTTAAAGGTTTTAAAGGCATTCAATGCTTCGCTCTTATTATGAAGCAAGTAGAGATACATATATCGAGAATAATCATCAATAAAGGTGATGAAATATTTTTGACCATTTGAGTCCATGTCTGGACTACATATATCAGTATGTATGATTTCTAATATGTCCGAACTCCTGTTGGCACCTTTCTTGGACTTGTTGGTCTACTTTCCCTTAATGCAGTCCGTACATGTATCAAAATCAGTGAAATCTAGAGTACTAAGTACCCCATCATTCACTAATCTTTTGATTCTAGCTATACGGATATGTCCTAATCTCTAATGCCACAACATAGAGGAGTCTTCATTAATATTACACTGTTTAGTGCCAGTATAAACATGCATTGAACTATAAATGATATTGTTTTGTAAATTAATACGATAAAGGCCATCAGACAAAGTATCATTCCCAACAATCAAAATTATTTAATAAACTGAATGATGTGTTTGAAAAATTAAAGGAATTTCCCAAGGGTACAAGTCTAGAAATAGAAATCAAGTTTCGTGAAAAATCATGGAACATAAAAGGTCCTATCTAATTTCAAAACAAAGCCACTACTTAATGATAAAATGCACGTTCCTATAGCCTTCACATGTGAGCCAATATTGTTTCCAGATAAGACATTTTGCTCACTTCCCACTGGTTTCCTTGGGTTTTGCATACCCTGCAAGGAGTTTGCAATATGGATTGTAAATCCAGAATCATTCCACCAGGTGTTAATATTTACATTAACCATATTAGATTCATAACAAACAAATGAGGTCGGATTACCTTTATCTTCAAGCCATTTCTTGAATTTAGCGCAATCTTTCTTCATGTGTCCTTTCTTTTTACAGAATTAACACTTGGCCTCTTTCTTAATATCAGCTTGGGATGGTATTTTACATTTCCCCTTCTGATTGGCTTGAGCCTTCCCCTTCTCACGAGTTGTAGTCAACATTACACTTTCACATTGTTCCATTATTAACCTCTCTTCCTCTTGAACACACGTGTGTTGTACGAGATTTTAAAAGGTCTGTACTGTTGTGGGAGAGTATTCAAGATATAGTGCACAAGGAAGAAATTAGACATCTAAACCTCGAGTTTCTTAAGTTGAGCCGTAATATCTCTCCTTTGCATGATGTGCTCGCGCACACCTTTTACACGGGTTAGCTTTAAAGATGAAAACTTCATTATAAGGGTGTTTGCTAATGCCTTATCTGAAATGAAGAATTAATCATCAATGGCTTTTATCAAGTCTTGGACCTTACCATACTGATCGTCGAACCACGTATACCAGCAGAAATTTTAGTCTTTATGAACATCACGCTGAGACGATTAGATCGCTCCCATTTTTCATAAAGTGCGATGTCTGCTGCAGTGCTGGTATCAGTGATTTTAGGTGGTTCGTTTTTCCTCATATTATAATCAATATCCATCCACCCTAAATGGAGAAGAATTTTTTCTTTCCATACTTTATAGTTATCACCCTTTAATTTGGGAATATCGTAACGAATATTAGAGAAATTAGCAGGTTATGAAGCTGCATAATATTAAAAATTGCTTATGTTAAACTGGGGCATTATTGTAGATTGCATGTTTTACCAATGTAAATCATGCTAAAATTGAATATAATGACATAAAAATTGCATGTGGGCTAAATTTTTAATTCAAGTATATTCAATTATCCCTTATGGTAGAATTATCAAATTATGTACTTATGGACATATTATAAAATAATTTGATATTTTCTTCTAATTAATTATATAAATATAACAAAAATTCCTGTGGGATAAAATTCATTATAACCAGTATAATTAATTACAATCTAATGTCGTTAATCCT